CCAAGCATCAAGGGATTCAGTGGAGCTAAAATCAAATCTCTTCTTTCTATTTCTTTGCCAGTTAAATGTTCCTTATTGGTACTAAATTTCGTGGGTCTTCAATTTCGCGTTTTTGGCGATTGTAAAAAAATCGCGAAACTTAATACCCATATGAAAATTCAAATAACATTGACGTGTAATGGCAACGATATGTATCGACAAACACAAATTGCCTTCCGGTTTTATAATTACTGGTAGGCTCCATTTTGTATCTTCCAAAAATAAAACCCCGCGAAATACTGTCTCGCCGGCAAAATCACGAATTTAAGTACCAGTAAGGTACTAATCGAGATCGCAGAAGAGATCAGACGTTTTGGTACATGTCCCATTGTTACCTTTTTGATGCACAAGTTTATTTTCATCGTTTGAATATAACGAGCAGTTGAAAACAATTTCTTGAAAAAGTAAGTTTATTAGACAGGTAAAATTGAAAATTGCGTCCGAAAATGAAACGGGATTTTGAAACCGATATCAATAATCAGTATTTATTGTTGTTGTTGTTTTTTGTCACAAATCTTACCAGTAAAACGCCAAATTGATATTTTTTTTTATTCAATACTGGCTCTAACTGTCTTACTGTCATTAGAAAATTTTATTCCATCTTATTACTGCCAGTCGATTCACAACAACTTCACAGCAATTTTCCAAGAATAGGTGACTGGCAACGAATTAAAAATCTAATTTAATTTCATTCGTATTTTTCAGTCGCATTGCTCGCTGGCTGAATCGCGCTCCTAACTCCTTTAAGTTGTTTTTCAAAGAAGTACCATTTAAGTTGTATTTCAAGGCAGTAGAGAGGATACAAGTTCGTTTGGGAAATAATTCTTATTGATCAGTGGTTTTTGACGGTGAAATTTGAAATAGGAATCAAAACTTATCAGAATTTCCAATAAACGGTTGGAGATGCTTCCACCATGTTCACACAATTTTATGGCAACTTTTTAACACCCCTTATCACTAAAATCACTAAACAAGATTAAAGTTGTTAATAAGGTGCTGTCCGCGTGTGATTACATAAGCTTTTACCGCTCTCTGGTATGGGAAACTCTGATCTATTCAGTTGTTGTTGATGTTGTTCAGTTATGGAGGAAAGAAAATGAAAAGGAAAAGAGAGTGGTCTTGTTCTTTACAACGTTTCAGTAAACAGTCTACATACCGAAAGGCTTGGTGCATTCCTTTCCTGCAGAGAGTATCGAAATGACTATCATAAACGCCAAATCGTCTTTATCAGTATTTTTACCTTTTCTAAGGACCTCGTTTGGAGAAATTAGTAAAATACGAAGGAGAGTATGCTTCAAGTTTTACGCCCGCATATTGCACAAATATAACCAGAAAATAAAACTTAAGAGCATGCGGTTTTATCCGTGATGATAATTACTGGTACTCAACGAAAGAAGAAATCAAGTTATTCTACGTATTAAATTAAAGGAAGTGAAATTAATTTCTGACTTGAAATAGTTAAACTGTTTTCTTGCGGTTTGTTTACTTGGATACACCTGCATTAAAGTTGTAGGCGGTGAAAAGAGATCGACGGCAAACGACGCAATTCCCATTCGTTGTAAATGTAGTCCTTAATATTCCCTTCCTCGTACGTGATAACTGTTTTGGAAGGAATTATTTGGTTTTCGTTTCGCCTGCACAGACTCTATCACCGCTCTTCGCCGGCAAAAGTGCTATTGATCGGCTTGGCAAGTTACTCAGATCTCACATCGCTTAAAAATTTCACAAGCATTTGCAACCGATACAGACTGCGTCAATCGTACTCCTAAAGAAATTGTTTGATTTCTTTTCTCTGCCCCCATCTGGTTTCAAAAGCTGACAGAATCTTCGCCAAGAAAAAAATTCCTAGTCAAATATGTAAAACATATACAGGTGCAAGAGGGGATTTGTATTAAATCAGTTCACAGATAAGTTATGTTGAAGGTAATCAGTTTCTCAATTCTAAAAATGCATGAGCTTGTCTAGACCTGGTTGCCACACCCATAGGTTGTTGACCTCCAACGATCTTCCCCACACAGCCATCCTTGCCACCCACTGCTTTGAGCCAGTCACATGCAGTGTACACGAATTGAGACAGAGACATCTTAGTGTAAAGTCGAGGAGCAAAATTGATTGATATTCTTAGAAACCCAAAAACCGTTTGCTATTTAATTTCATCAAAGAATATTTTTGTTATGTTTAAGGCTGCTACGTATACACATTATTTTTCACTCAAGGCTTGGGATATGGGTAAATGTTTTTTTGGGAAGAAAATTTTATGTAAATTGAAAACAGAAATTTTGACAAGAAAGCACATATATTCTGAGGAGATCTAGGCAGATGTGACTCTCAGATTAATGTTCTTTTTGAATAACAGAAAGCGATCAATAATAAATGATGTTTGACTTAAATAAGGCTGCAACATATTATCTTTTACTAATGACATGGGTAAATGGTTTTTGGAAGGAAATGTTAATTAAATTAAAAACAGAAATTTTATCAAAGAAGCATTTTGTTTAATTTTGGTAAGTCACTAAAATAATTTACTCGGAAAAAGTCTGAAACATGTCCTTTATGGCCCCACTGACGTCCATGCTTAGGATAAACGCAGCCACATAATTGGACAGGCTTTAGTAATTAACGTTTCCTCTATATTAGTCTTGAAAGCCTTGAAGATCCAGTGGTAAAGCACCTGAACCCATAGAATTCACAGAGCAATGAAAGAGGTTTCTTGTCTTTATCCATTTAATTTCAGTTGTCAGCACAATGTTTTTTCGTTGTCCCACCCTGCTGAAATGACGAATATGACTAATTCCACTTCATTTTTTATATTAACAGAAAAATGGAGGTTCTTTTCGTGTTGTTTCTAATGCTATGCAGCATTAGAGCTGAAGGAAATTCAGGTAGGAGTAGTTTATTTCCACTCATTCTGTTAAGTACAGTAAAGCCTAAGTAAAACATGGTGATGTGAGCCAAATGCTTCACAAAATGAATTTAGTGTTTTAAATTATTTGCCATGATTACGAAATGTAACGAATAAAAATAATGTGGTTAACCCCATAAGACATTACGATATTCAATTTTTTTTTTAAGGTATCATCCACCCTCAAGCACCCTCCTCGCGTTGATCGGCGCTAGCGCTTTTGCTTTTAACAAATACCCCCATAAACCGTACATTTTCTGAAAGCTTAATAGTTCTAGATTATTTCTTATTTCTTTTAAAAAAAACAAAAATATTAACGCGATTTAGAAATGAGAAGCTTTTTGTGAAATGGGTGTCACTGTAAATTTAAGTCCAGTCCAGCCAAAAATTAACGGAAGAAGTCAGTTAAGAACGCATTCGCTTATTAACACGTTTGACTAAAAAATCGTGTCTCAGATCTTTGTCAAGTGCGTTTGTTCTGTTGTTATAAGCAGGTGAAGTTAGGGATAGCAAATCATTAGCACTACCAGTGAAAAAAATACTCTAACTCGAAAACGAAAAAAGAAATCAAAATTCGCAGGCACAGTTTTTTAGAAAAACTATCTGACAGTAAGTTGGCCAAATTTCAGCCAAATTGGTTCACGGGTTGCCGACTTGGAGTTTAAAACGTACCCTCAACTTGCCCTGATTTTCATTTCGAGAAAACAGTGGAAAAAGATTTTTGGCGGCGTATTACCCGTGATGAGATTATAACAGATTATAACACCAACTTGAAAGTTGTCAATGTTGATGCATACCAGAGAAGGGACAATAATAGTGACACAGCAGGAAAAGTTGAAAACGAAACCCGACAACAGATGAACAATTTCAAAGGCTCTTCTCTGTTCGATCCTTTCTGTTGTCGAGAAAGCTTTATTAGTAATTTGCAACGGGCAGTTTTCATTTTCGCACCGGACAAGCCAAGTTGAGCCAAGCCTACTTTTACTCGATACATTTTTTTAAAAGTTGGACACTTCCCTGGAAAAATCGACAACAAACCGCTTCCTGGAGTTTTTCTTGAAGCTTCTTTCCCGCTACAATAGCCTTTCAAAACAGTACTTCATCCGATTTTTATATGGCGCAGGACCTCTCGTGACTTCGTCTCTCGCTTAGCTGCTTCGCGGCCTAAAAAGCTCGCTCCTCTCGCTAACGAATTCGTGAAACTCGATTCCGCGGTAGTTTCAATGGGTTTTTCAGGAGCTTTGTCATCTTTTAGCCATTTTTCTTGATTTAAGTAGGAGCCCTTGTCGCTCTCTGCTAATTTCGAAGCCCACTCTATGGCGGCAAAACGATTTTGTCGTCTTCTTTTGTCTTCGAGGCGAGGACGAAAAAGGACAAGCTCTTTTTTCTTCTTTGTAGGCATTCACTTTCAAACTCCAGGGAAAAACAGTGAGCACTATACTTGCAAACCACGATTTCTGTCAAATTGCGTGATTAGCTTGGTTCAACAGCGGCACGCGTATCAAGTATGGCAGGACTTGTCAACGATCAATTAAAATAATTAGCAAAGAAAAAACTTTTGCGCTCCATAAGTTTGCTCAGAAAAAACATTTTTTCCTGGAATTTTTTTTAAAAGAAAGGTCTTGATGAGCTCTATTTAATCGTCTAAAAATTGCAAATTTAGAAAAATGATTTTTTACCCTGGATGATACCTTAAGGGGCAATATGAGTCAACCTTTTTGGGTCCTTGCTGCTGTTAATCAGCGGTATACGTGCAACCTTGTTCACAGGAACGGGCGGCCGGCCTCTTAACAACTTTGAGGATTTTCTCTGTGAGGAAAAAAGGGGGATTCGAATGCGTAGATGTTTGACCTACATCAACGTATCCCAAACTGAAAATTCGGATTCGTAATGAATTCGGAAAAATTTCCCGAGGGTGTGAACCTAGCTAGCCCTAGACAAACTATGAGAGTTAAACTGCTAAGCAACAATCTAATATCTAAGATGCTAATGTACTATTAATCCGACTAGTAATTACTAGAAATGACAATATGATTAGCAATTGTGCATTTGATTTGCAGAATGCGGTTCAGTAGTAAACTATACTACACTAACAAGTCCAGGATATCCAAACTACTATCCAAGAAACATGGACTGTACTTGGACTTGGGAAATTCCAACAGGAAAAATTCTGAATGTGACCTTTGCATCCTTCGACATGGAACCTCTGTGGGATTGTGGGTAGGCGATTTAAATGAGAAGTAGAAAAGGGTTGTAAAGTTCTTTAGCCATATCCATCTCAAATCAGTACTATAGAGCTCATGAATATCTGCTAAGAGACAACGGCCTCCCCCAAACGGCCTTTATTTGATAGTTCCATTGGGGAATTGGGGTTAGGTATAGCTTAAGCGCAGGTCGAGTGTACTTTTGTCAATAGACCTCTTTAGCGTATATATATTTTGTGTTTTCTTAATGTAGGTCCTGTGATAATACTCCAGAGAACTGTGTATTTCAAACTTCGATTTTTTTCTCGTGCATATGTACCCATAATTTATGAAAAGAGAAAGTGGGCAAAAGCTAAAGCTTAAGACTTGAGACTCTTTAAAAAAAGACTATGACACCTGCGAACTGGAATTATTAATACACCAGTCTGTCAAGTTACATTTTTAATTCCTTTTAAACAAACATACAGACACACTTGTCATTCTGCTTTTCTTGTGACTTTTCTTCCAACGGTCAAAACAGTAGAGGTAAGCCACTCTGCATTAAATCAAACACATTCTACGCTCGCTTGAACATTTTCCAGAGGTTTATGGTCTCACTAATTCGTCAAGTTATTGAACGATTTTGTATATTAATTCGGCAAGACAAAGCCTAACAAGATATATCGTCCCTTACTTTTTCATGGAAAAATAATTGTTGACCAAAGCGATGAGCGTTAATAATCTAGCAGAGTAGTAGCTTGATACTCTTGCATTACAAGCGAAGAAGCTTACCTGCCTGCAATGTACACAACATATGAAACCGCAATAATATTACAACGCTATCTAAAGAAGACCAGTTACGGAATTTTTGTGGGCAAAATGCAAGAACAAAACAAATAAATGAAATATGTAATCTTGCGCAGGTTATCAAAGCAAGTTTGTCACCAAAATAAAATTTGTTTTTTGTAGAAGAACCAAACGGTTTTACTGTTTTATCGGGCCTTGACTTTTTATCTTCTTGTAGGAGAGACTATTTGAGTATTTACCATCAAAGCAACGTTCTGATTGGCAAGTATTGCGGTAATTTGACGTACAATTTGGCAGTGATGGTAGCCGGGAATTACACAGTGATTAAATTCCACTCGGAAAACGTTAGGAAAGGAAGGCGTGGATTCAGATTGCATTTCAGTGAATTACCTCGAAGTGGTAAGTGCAGAAGGGACCTAAGCGTAATACAAGAATTTGTGTGGGAAATAATTCTCAATATTCAAACTAACCTACTTGCGAGCACAACCCTTCGATCTTCCTAGATATGTCGAGACAGTATCATGGCGACCAGCGGTGATATTTTACGTATCACATTTGTCTGGCTTCACATGAATTAATTTTCTACGTAAATTAGCTGCTCTAACGTCTTCATTCGCGAGGGAGCTTAAGCAACAACGACGGCGACGGCTGCGAAAACGTTACATAAAAAGTGAATTCGCACTGCTTCAAACTTTATCGCGTTTATTCATCTCATTCAATTCGTCAAATCTTGGCAATTTTTTCTGGAGCTGAATTCTTAAAGACTGTATCGAAGTTCAGAAAAAGAAGAAGAAAGTCGTCGCCTTGTGTTCACCTCCTCCACAAAACGTGAAATTAGGCATTTTCACGTCGTAGTCATGCAGAGACGGCAAAGAAATGTTCAAAAAAGCGTGATGCACGTGCAAAGTTGTTGTCGCACCTAATAGCAAATTTAATCCAAACGATGCAAAGTAGAAGTAAACATTTCGATTATCTCTCATTTTCCTCGGCAGAGCTATGCGGTTCGGCGAAGGATAATATACTAAGATCCCCTGTATATGTACAGAGTTATCCACCAAATATGCACTGCGTCTATAATATCTCAGTTCCACATGGCAAGGTGCAAAAACTTGTGTTTCAAATGTTTGAACTGGCGTTTGATCCAGAATGCAGGTTAGAGTAATATTCCTTGATTAAGCGTGTTTCCAATTATAGTGTGTTAGTGACCAGTGTCAAAATAAACCGTGAAAATGCTAACTATTTTTGAGTGAAAGGGAAGCCTGAGCCGGCAAGAACTGGTGGCTTATGATCCAAGGATCATTATACAAAACTTTGGCTAATAATGAGCTCAAGTAATTACATGTTAACAGGGCAAGAAGTGCACCTAATAAGGACACCAATGTCTGTGACAGTTATTGGCGTGCAAAAATTGACATAATTCACTAGGAACTGAATCTGTTGATAAACATCATCAGGTTTCAAATTGCTACGTAATGCAGGGGTCAATCATATTAAAAACCAAGGCTTAATTTTGAAGGGTCAAAACTCTTAAATAACTTAAAGTAAACCGTTTTGTTCTAGTTTGTTTTTGTGTTGTTTTCTTTGTACTTACTTTAAGGAATTGGCCACCACTTCAAAATGTTAAGTAGTCAAATGGCTCTTACAAAAAAGTTAATATCATGTCATGGAAAAGCAACTTCAAAGAAACCAATCCATCTGAATGGTTCTTTATTCTGAACAGAAGCCTTTGACTTAATGCATTTTGACAGGAACATATATAAATGTAATTTGTTTAAAGTAAACCCGTGAAATATTGAGTGTTTCCTTTGCAGATTGAACTACCTGAGCATTTCGCATGGTAATAACTCTATCGGCCATTACTGCGGTAACTTAACGGGAAAAGTTATTTCAGTTTCACGAGACTATCTGGTGTTAACATTTCACTCAAACGAGACATTTGATCCTAAGAATAGAGGATTTGAAATATTTTTTACGGAAGATGTAAACATGCCTGGTAAGTGAATGTAACGATAACTATACTATATCAATACTACAATAGCAAATTATATTAGAGTACAGACACATGGATGACGTCACAGAAATGTTTTTTCTTTGTTTGTCAAACATGGCGCGCGCTTTTGAAATGTATGCGAGATTATTTCGGAATAAGCAAGTGAAGGACTTAAAAAAGTGGGGCTCGTGTGCCTCTTATTTGTTTGTTTGGTTTTGTTTTTACCACTTTCTCACTCTATCTGTGATCTATAACTGAACGGACGTACGGCAACATGGAATCTATTTGCAGAACGTTGTCAAAAGAAAAGGCACCCTGCGAGCAGGGCGTAATTTTTTCCAACAGATAAAAAAAAAAAGAATCTGCTAGCAGGGTGGACAAAAGTTTATGAAAATTAATAATGATCACCAAAGAGAAAATGCTATGATCTTTTATCAAATGGAAATGAGCGGAGATCGGTATGAAAAATTATTGTGTACGCGGCGTTTTCCTGAATTTTTCATGTTGGCAAATATCATGGTCGAGGAAAAGCTTTAGAATTATTTTAAAATTGCAACTAAAAAAAAGACCGGTCACATATTGAATATCCTGCGAAAAAAGCCGTGATTTCACGACCCCACCACTGGTTTCCCCGCGAAGTGACGTCTTAGGAAGGACTGCAACAATTCCATACTTATGACGTGTCATTACCCAGATTTGGGTAGTGCTTCTGATTGGTAAGTTATACTTTGACTATATGTTTCAGCACCTTGTCCAATAGGATGGACAAGCCTTTATGGTTCTTGCTACAAAGTATCTTCCAACGAACTGGACTGGAACTCAGCAAAGTCCGCTTGTGAAGCACTGGGATCAAGTCTTGTTATTCTGAACTCACTGGCTAAAATACAAGAGCTCGTTAAAAGAGCAGAGGGCCAGACGTGGATTGGTTTACAGAGGGATGTCACGGACAGTTCACGCTGGCAATGGGTTGATGGGTCTGGCGCTTTTTATAGCTACTGGTGGAGTGAGGAGCCAAACAATTTCGACGGCAACGAAGATTGTGTAGTAATGAACCCTCACATAGGAAAATGAAATGACCAAGGGTGTTGGAAATCTCATTATTACGTTTGTGAAATCAACGGTAACACAACTTTCTATGGTAGTAAGTAAAATCAAAAAGTAAAGTAAATTGTAAATTTGATGTGTAAACAGTACTTCCAATGATTGTACGGTTTATCTAAGATCCCAATGAATCTGGATATTTCTCATAAAGGTAATAAAGGTGGACTTCTTGTATTATAATTAAAACGAAAATCTTTTTTTCTTTTTCAGCGACAAAAATACCAGCAGTCAGTGACAACAACTTTTGATTCCTCCACTTATGATAATATTAGTTCATTTCAGAAATATTAGAGACCTTAGATTCTAGGGCGAGAACGACTACAAGTACGAGATTTCACTTAAAGTTTTTTCGCGTATCCTCAAATAATAGACACCATGGATAGCTCCATTCTACATCTTTTCCACCAAAAAATTAGCCCTGTTATCTTTATTGAATGAGGTTAAACTCCCAGCTGCAAAATAATAAAACCTATAACACTTTATGACTCACTTGTGACCGCTAACACACTAACTCGTACTAGAATGCGAGGACTGTCACGTTTTCCGCCAAAATGACGCTGGTTCACACGCACGCACTACACAATCTGCGAAATCTGGTACTCGTAGTCGTACTCGTCTTAGAATCTAAAGGTCTCTATTTGTCTTCGCAGGTTGCCCCCAGGACTGGATTCAAATCCTCGGCTCCTGCTACAGAGCCTCCTCTTACGCACTGGATTGGTTCGCGGCAGAATCGGCCTGTAAGGCAATTGAATCTAGTCTTCCTATGGTGACTTCACGCGCTGAACAAGATGCCCTTGGCTCATTTTTAACACAAAGCGCATGGACTGGTCTACACAGGAATCCCAGTCACGATTTAAGTGGGGTTGGTTTGGTCAGTAGTTCACAAGCTAGTTACGTTCATGAATTACGTAGTCACTTGGATAGTTTGACGGGCGAGGGAGATTGTGTAGAGATAAATTCGACGGGAAAACTGAAAAATAGAGACTGTCGTCATCACCATCGGTACCTTTGCACAATATCGGCAGGTAAGTAACTTCAAGAAAACATCATGTGTTTCTGGAAGGGTTAGAATTTCCAGATTATGCTCGTGTGTATAGTATAGAGGTGCTAGTTAATCTTTAAAAGGTACCAATCACTTAAAAGAAATGCAATAAAAAGAAGACAGAAAAATTAATACTTGATTGCAAGGTCCATTAATTACAACCGGAGCGATCCACTGATATACTAATCACGACGTTTCCAGAATTATCAAGTAATTTTAGATTCACTGTAAAGTACTTTTCCAGCAAAAATAAATTCAAAATAAATAAATAAAGCTCCTGGTAAAAAGCACTAAAAGGATTTTACTTTGCTTCTCTTGTACGCTCTATCTATTTTAAAAAGGAATTAAGTGCAGAAAACCTTCACTGCGGGATGACGTGCTTGTTTCACCTTCCGATTGTCTTTTACCAACTCACCCACATGGAAAGATTTGCTCTTTTAACTGTGCCCGTGGATATCAAGTTAGCGGTCCTTCATCTGCTCGTTGCGGGATTGGTGGATCATGGAGTGAGGATGCGAACACCATCATTTGTGATGGTTTGTATCTTGATCGTTTAAGTTTCACTTCCCCCCTCAATCGTAGCGTAAAAAATAAGCCATTGTTTACAATTTTTAACTCGTGGGTACGCGCGAGCGTACCACGAATTATTGCAGGGACTGAGATATGCAAATGAGTCACTCACTCACTCGTAGTAGACGCACTTCGTAATTAATCGGGTCCGAACTCGAGAGCGCGAAGATCTATCGTTTCCAAAGAAGCACGCGCTCGCCGAAGTTCGGTAGCATCAAATTCCTCGCTGCGAGAGTGCATCGTGCGCTACAGCACGGTTAGGATAGAGGTCTTACCAAATTTAAGACAGGCAAGAATCTTTTAAATTAGTACGATTCAAAAGCCTTTGACCCGTCCAGGCGTTAAACTTGACAAGAAGATGAGCATTTGCTCTTTGACTCCTTCAACTTCGACGCCGGCTTGATCTCCTACCTTGTAGTACTGTAGTAGGTTGTGTGTATGAATGAATTTATGGCAGTCAGTATAAAAAACGGACTGCGGACTACGGACTGCGGACTGGGTATAAAATACGGACTATAAAATACGGACTGGTGAAATGTATGGTAAATAAAGGCACTTCTTCTTCTTCTTCTTAAGGACTCCCCAAGATCACGGGGGGAAATGGATGTGAGTTTGAGCATTACCTTTTTAAAATAACAGCGGAAATCGAGATAAGAAAACATAAGCTAATGTTTTGCGTCCAACTTCGCGGAGGAGTTGTGTTGGCTTTGTATCGCATATGTTCTTTTATTACCATGAAATGCGTTTACATTGTTTTTTACTGTCAGTAGCCTGGTTTCAATTAGCCTTAATTTCATCCCATTGCTTCGAGTCGTTTTTATGGCTCGATCGTTTGCCCCGGTCGTTTGCCGGCGGAAGTTCCATAGAAAAGGCATTACATTTGAGACTTTTCGCCTAATCATGTGACCATTCTCAATGGCGTAGTGGCTATGTGAGATCGGGTCAAACCGAAGGTACCGGGTTCAAATCCTGCTAAGGACCTTCTTCCTTTTTTTTTCTTTTTTGTTTTGTCTTGTTTGCTTATTTGTTTTGCTATTTTTTTTTGTTTTGTTTTTAAATATATACTTAAATAACTGTTACTAAAGTGCAATAAACAGCAATAAAAGTATTGTGCTTCCAGAACAAGGATAGTATATTTATAATATGAATTTCTATCATTTCCTAAAATTCACTGTGGGAAAACCAGAGGTGATAACTAATTGATTATTTTCTAAACAACGTACCCACGAGTTGACGATAGTCTTTCTTTGATTTGGATTGCTATCAATCCAACCCGAAAGCTATTGACTTCTGCAGATTAGAGCTTGTGAATCAAAATGTCCTTGCAACTAGTAAATCGGACGCCTTAAACCAAGTTTGTGCAGCATTTTTTTAATGTAATTATTATATAAATAATTTTCAGTTGTAAAATAATTATCACCACCGCTGCAACCAATACTGCCACCACCATTACCATTATCATCATCGTCATCATCATTACCATTATCATTATCATCATTATCATCATCATCATCATCATCATCATCATCATCATCGTCATAAAAAAAAAACACAATAAAAAAAACATGGTGGTAAGTATTGCTACAATCATTAGGACCACATCATCGTCATCATCGATCACTACCTTTTACGTTCACCAAACCCAGGTGCATCGGTTAATGTCAAAGCCAGATTACCCCGTCAAAGACGAGTGCTGTTCGAGAGCCGTCGTTGTTTGTTTTTATTCAATAGAATGTGAAGAAGCTCTCGGTATGGGAGACGGACAGATCTCCAATGGACAAGTCATTGCTTCTTCGCAACTCGATGCCGAGCATGCAGCCATCAATGGCAGACTAAAGGCTATAAGAACTTCAAATAAAGTAGGATCGTGGTCACCTTATACCAATAATGTTAAGCAATGGTTGCAGATAGATCTGGGCAGTCAAAAGCGTACCCTTGTGGCAAAGATTGCTACTCAAGGAGACAATGCTAACAACATGTGGGTCACACATTACACATTACAGTACGGCGACAACGGAGATAAGTTCAATGTTTACAAAGAGCTAGGACAAGGTAAAGATAAGGTGAGACGCCTCTTCTTCGCCAAAGTGAAAAAAAGCAGTTTAGCATTTCTCCAGCAACCTTTAAATACGTATATATTTTGCTCGTGTGCACTTTTGTTTAGAGTAAAAATATGTCTGGCAACCCGCTTCCTTTGAGGAATGCAGCAAGAAACGAATATATTGACTGAATTTAACGCATGTGCCTCTTACCTGGATTTTTCAGGTGTTCGATGGCAACACAGACCCGGATACCATT